ACAATTTAGTATTTTTCTAGATGCCGGTTGTTTACTCTTTCAGTTGATGTTGAACACTCGCATGTAAGGTTCCTAGGAAACCTGGTTTTAAACCTGTGGGACTGTGGAGGCCAGGAGGCCTTCATGGAGAACTACTTTGCATCTCAAAGAGACAACATTTTTAGAAATGTTGAAGTACTCATCTATGTATTTGATGTGGAAAGTAGGGAAATGGAAAAAGATATGCACTACTATCAATCTTGCTTAGAAGCTATTTTGCAGGTTTGTACTTAATTTATTTGGACTTGTAGATTTCAGTATTTGAAAGACATTTATAAATTAAGTTTGGATTACAATTTGACAACTTGCTTGCGGTCTCTGACAATATGGAGATCACCAATATGATACAAGTTAGGGGTTAAAATATAGCATATTAGAAGGTGAACAAAAGAAAATATTTTATATATATATATATATATATATATACAACTACAAGTTCTTACTCACTGATAGAAATAGAACGCATACTTCCCGATATGGTGGAAAAAAATATTTATACCGTTATACGCAGATAGGCTCCAAAGCAAAGAATCACATATGAGAGGACCTGAATATGGAAAATATGAAAGAGTGATCAACAGCCTTCAAAAACTATAGTATATGGAGGGATATTTGTGCAATTTTATGAGGTTAGACCTAAATTAGAAATGTTTGTTTCTTAAATTGGCCCAAATCGGAAATCGACCTCCTCATCAAGCGCTCATAGTATTAACTGCTGTGCCACCAAAGAACATGAGCACACTCCGTAAACTGAACCATGCGCCGCAGGCTGAGCCCGATCCCACCGTGTGTGGGGCACAGGACTCGTTTAGAATATACACGCATCAAAAACGTCTAGGGGTGCATACAGATTTCTCGACTGTGCCGCAAATGTGCCTGTTTGCAATAGTCTCGCGAGCTATACACGATCTGTTCGCGCGCCGTTCTCGCGCCACACATATCACGCATTCGCCAGACTGTACGCACCCATAGGATCAAGGTTTTTTTTTTAACTATTTGATTACCCTATTTAAATTAAATAAAAATACATATATAAATTTAGTATATTATGAAATTGACCAATAAAACCAGTAGCGTTAAAAAAATTAGTTATAAAACCTTATTTTCACTTATAAAACTTTTTATAAAACCTTGTTGGGTGTATCATTTATTTAGTCAAAACTTGTTTAAAAAGAAATACTTTTGTAAATGTAGACAAAAAGTTTTAACTTACATTGTTATAATTAATTAGTTTTTCAATGAAGATCAAGTAGATGATGATATTTACTTATTAATGTGTTGAGATAAATAAATGATTTATTATTCTTATTAAATAAGATATATTTAGTTGTTTTTCTCAGTTGGTCTCTTTCTATTTATTTATTTAGAATTCACCAGAAGCAAGAATATTCTGCTTAGTGCATAAGATGGATTTAGTACCTGAGGAACAGAGGGAAGAAATATTCAAAGAGAGAGTTGAGGACCTGAAGAGGCTTTCAAAGCCTTTGGAGTGCACATGCTTCCGAACTAGCATATGGGACGAAACACTTTACAAGTAAGTTTACAAGTGGAATTCCAGGTGGAATGCCTGCATTAAAATTTGTTTGCCACCATCAAGTTATGAATAATGACTTTGATAGAATTCTACACAACTCATGTAAAACCTAAATTCATAAACAAGAGGTTGATGGATTTAAAAAATTTGCAATTTATTTTTTGTTTCAAGTATAAAATTACTTGTCTATTTGTTTCCATAACAAGCTTCTATTATAATATTGTGTTAGCATCTATTTTGTCTATAACTTAAACAATATAGAACTTGGTACTTGGTACTTGGTGTAACGGGCTAGTGTCCGCAACTCGACGTCAAGGCGCCTATTTTGCGTGTGGAACAATATAGAAATAAGGGATTGAATATGATACATAAAATATAATTACTCCTCAATCAATTAAAAAAATTATGACAATGTCAGATTAAATTATTTTGCAATATCACATGTTTAAATTCATATGTAGTGCCTTCATCTATCTACATTCATATCAAATACCTCTATCATCAATATCCTCAACATGATAAAATTTATCAATGACTGGCCTATACCATAGACCATGAAAGATTAACAAAGTATGATTGAGAGAGATTAATAAGTAAGGTAACAAATATAATTACTGGTCCTCCTGCATTATAGAGTCTAAATATTGTAATATACTAGTCTGAATATTCGTTGTAAGAACATAAAATGAGATTTAATATTACTTATTGTCACAATAATTTAATTAACATTTGTTTGCAGGGCATGGTCAAGCATAGTCTACAAGTTAATTCCTAACGTTAAGGCTTTAGAATCGTCACTCAAACAGTTCGCTCAGATAGTAGACGCTGATGAGGTTAGTAGGCACAAAAGAAAATTAAAAATTTTATTAATCACTATTGTTCAATATTTATAAAAAATAACCATACATTATTTTGTTCACTATAATCTTCGTTGTCCAATTTTAATTATTAGCAGGCAGTATTTAGCCATGGTTCAATTCGCAAAATGTGATGGAAGTAAGAGTTAAAAACCAGCTGAGTTCTCATACATCTTGACATGCCTACCAAAACAATATTCTCTATTAACTAGTCATATGAATCAGGTATTGCTGTTCGAGCGAGCTACGTTCCTGGTAGTGTCGCACTGCCAGCGGCGGCCTCACCGCGACGCGCACCGCTTCGAAAAGGTTTCCAACATCGTCAAACAGTTCAAGTTGTCGTGCTCCAAACTCGCCGCTCAATTTCAGAGCATGGAGGTTTGTTTGTTGCTTTGTTCCATATTTATTTCCTTCTTTGTCGATTACAACAGAGAACAGTATTGTTTTGAATTATTGCTACTCCTGCGATTAATTTCGACTTGGAACTACAGATAAGAATATTACACCGTTTTTTAGTTTAGAAATAAGTAAATCCGGAAAAATAGTTTCATTTCCTATGTGTAACAATCGCGAAAACCTAAGAACTCGATAGAAATAAGTTTTAACATATTAATATGCATTCGTGCATTAGCACTAAACGTTCCTGGACACAAACAAATACGAAAACTTTGAATTAATATTAAATGATGCTGTTTAATAATAAGCGATAAATTTTAAAACTCGATGCGTAATCAAATAATAATCGATAATGTGCTCTCAAGTCATATTTCTTGATAAAGACCGTAAGGTCTTGCATTGATCCTGACTTGAAATAAATTTATAAATATGGAACCTAGGTAGCCTTGCTACAGTCTGTGTATAATTTAAACTAAAAGCACTAAGGAATACATTTGTTTTTAATTAAGAGATATATTGCAATTTTTTTTATTAACTGTAACAGTACTTCAGAAGTTAAGTGGAGAAACTCTGAAAATGGCTGTGAATATGTATCTTTGTACTAGAGCTCTTAAATTACATGCGTCCAACATGTCATTATTAAATCCGTTCAATGGGGCGAAATTTGTTTTGTTCCCTTTCCTTTGCGATATTTAAAAAAAGGCAAAACATAATTTTTATTATTGGGTCATATATTTTCTGTTTAAAGGTAAAACCACATAAGTGACATTTTCCACACAAGTATTTAATTTGTATAGCTATAGTAAGAAAATCACTATCTTTCTGCACGTGAATCTCAATAACAAAAAAGCTTAACATATTAAGAATTTTATCTGCAAAAAGATGGCGAATTTCTTACAATTAGTACATCATTTGGAGATTTTTTGTGAAAAATGTCACTTATGTGGTTTTACCTTTAAGCAGACGATATCTTCAAATCAAGTTACATAACAATGGGTATATAAACAAACTAATAATATAGGTACATAAATAAAGATCTGCGACAATCAGGCAGACAAAGGCGATATCAAAAATGTAAGGATACCGCGTTTTAATACGAAACCCTATAAAAATGGTTGGTTATGAAAAAAACTTTAATACATGAAATAATTTTTTCGCACACTAGGTCCGCAATAGCGTGTTCGCAGCATTCATCGATGGGTTCACGAGCAACACATACGTCATGGTCGAGATGTCCGACCCCAAGATCCCCTCCGAAGCGACCCTGATTAATATCCGCAACGCGCGCAAACATTTTGAGAAACTCGAAAAGGTTTCTTCCAGTGCACCAAGCCAGTACCAATGAAAACGGAGGACGATCTAGTAGTGAAATAGCAAATTTTAATATTGTTGAGCTGTGCCAAGCGCAGATATATTCTTTGTAGCGACGAGATCCATATGACTAGTTTGTATACATTGTCCATCATGATTTCTTACCCAAAAGCATAAATGCCGGGAATCTCGACATCTTTCATTTAAAAAATTAGTTCCACAATTTCAGTTTGTATTACTTTAATTTTTTTTTTGTAGTTCCTCCTCCATACTGTAAACTCCCGGCAAACTTGCTACAATTTTTGGGTCATTATATTAGCTACGGCATGCAAACAAATGACAAGTTATTTATTTGAGAAGGCTAGGGAAATATTTTATGCCACCGATTTGTTGATTTCGCACTTGTATCACGTTTACGACTTTTGTTTGCTTCCAAATTAATTTACCGATAAGTTAATTATTTTAAAGCTAAGAATCTAAAAATAATTTAATTCACGTACATTTCATGGATTGCGTCTTCTTTTTACATCTACACTCACAGTGGCAGATTAACCGCGTGATTTTGACGATGTATTCTTGAACCGCGAAGTCTTTTAGTATGTATATTGAACACGTACCTTTGTAAAATTTAAGCATAAGATTACTTACTGTTATATCCAATATGATTGTAGCTTAGAAAGAAAATTCGAAAACGCGTTAGGTTTTTTTTTCGCATAATACCAAACATTTCTCTATGATTTATTTTGAACGCGTATTAGAGTTGTCTATTTTATATGTTAACCGAGCTATATTTTGTATCTGCTAATGCAAACAAACTAAAGCAATTTAATTATGTAATCTCTTACAAAATGACGCAAATTAATATGTCACAATTGAAATACCAAGTGTACCAAATAATAAAAAGATGCAGTCAGAGGTGTCAATTGCTAATCCCCTGAACCATGTAAAGGTTGAAAATGAACTAGATGATGAGACAACGGTACATCAGACTACACATTTTTGTTCGAAAATCGCCTCCAGTGCAACGGAACAAGATACGTCCATGTGTAGCTTGATGTGCTGGCGTGTGTACATTAATAGCCTTCGAAAAATAAACCTTGCGAAAGGGTTTTTTAAACGTCAGAACGACTTTCGACCCTTTTATTACGAACTTGCAGTGACGTCGTCGCTAGTGATAACGTAAAATATTTTCCCTTGTTACGCGTTCATAATCAAATTTTTGTATGGTACTTGTAAACGGCACTAGAGCTCACAAAAGGCAACCTTTTTTACACAAACATTTTACCCGATTGCTAACGACAACTGTCATTGTAAACTTATGGTATAGAGGCACAGGTGAACATATATGATCTAAATAAATATGTCAGATTTAGTTATGAAAATGTGAGCAAATAGTTAACCAATCAAATGTATTATTATTTATATGTAACACTGAACCTACAAATTCATGAAACAACCTAATATCATTACCAATTATCCATGTATGAGTACGACACAACATATCACACATAAAATGAAAAAAACGAACTATAAGTGACTTAGCCTAAAGAGTATATTATATAGCTAACCGAGCCATCTTGTAGGCCAGTCGTTAGATGTTTTTACTCGCAAAGGAGTAGGTGTGTGTGGTTTTTTGAAGACATCACTAAAGAAGGAGTCTCTATGGATCTCCCAACCAATCCGTGACTTCCAAAAGAAAAATTATATAAAATCGAAAAATCTAAGGAGATTTTTAATTTTTATATTTTGATTTGATCAACATATTGAACGGCCATTCTCACGTTCGTAATTACCGTAGCCATTTCCGTGTCCTCAGCCTAATTACCGTACCATTGTTTTTGTCACTTAATATATTCAACAACCTCGAAATATAAACAACTTTAAGCTTAACTATCAATATGTTTAAATGGCATTAGAATAAACTAAGTAGTTTTCGAGTTATTAAGAAACAAATGTTTTATGGAAACTAATTGGATCTAATGACCGTATCCAACTTTCTAAAGTTCAAACATTTTTAAGAAAACATAAAATAAATTTTTATAAAGAACAACTAATAACATGTAAATAACTTGGATTTTAATTTTCTTCACTTTTTGTAATGAATTACACCGATATATATTTTTTTTAACTTTTGAGGTTTTTTATCGGCAGAAATAATTTATTATAATTAAAATTTAAATTATTACACTGGTCTTCTGACAGCTGTGATTAATCATAAAAAAAGAATTGGAGTAATTTTTAATCATTACCACTTACCAAATATTAAAAAACCTACTTTAAATTTATTTCAAATAATCTTGATTGGCACTTGTATCAGTAGAATTAAAGCAAATGTAGCAAAATATACAAATAATAATTCAGTTATGTCAGAAATAGTCGGTTTTTATTAAAAATGTTTGAACTTGCTACGGTAATTAGTTCTAATTACTGTTTCCATATAATATTCGTGTCTTGATAACTCGAAAACTACTTTGTCTATTCTAATGCCATTTAGACATATTGATAATGAGCTTAAAGTTGTTCATATTTGAATGTTATTAAGCGAGAAAAGTCATTGGCTACGGTAATTAAGCTGAGGACACCAAATGTGAGAATGGCCGCAAAAACCCAGAGCACAGCAACCTTTTGCGAGTTGTAGGCCTTTTTTATGCTCTGCTCTATAAAAGATTACTGCACTATTTGGAACAATAGTACCTTTACGATGAGCTTACAGTAGATTGTCGTTAGCGACAGCACTAAACATTTGTAAAGAAAATTGTTACTTAGAGTCTGCTAGGAAAGCCCTACAATATGCCATAGAAAAATGTCAAATGACGCGGGTGACTGTCGCTTAGAGGATGGAAGGACTGTCGACACTGTAAAGAATTGTGTGGCTATTGTACTTGTAACTTGTGATAAAGTATGTGTCACGATATTATGTAAAAAAGTAAGTACGGGCGTCTTCTATACGAACAATTAATGTTCCACATTTAAACATGTCACATCTTAGTTTAAAATGTTTAATAATCAAAAATACATTACAATTTGCATAGGTACTTTAGCTGGACCACACTGAGTATATTATAATATAATCTGTCAAAATTCTTTGCGGAATGAGTACTTTCCGTTATTTACACAGCATTTCAAATTTGCGGTTTAAAGAGGTAACAGTTTGCATACTTGTAGGCGAGTGAACAAAATTTAATAACATTCGTGCTCTATGATACGAAAGGAGGAGCGTCGGACCAAAAGCCGATAAGTCACATTTTGACTTGTTCTCCTTTTTTTGCCAAACGGTAGTTTTTGTACGTTTCTATGAATAATTTATCCAACCTGAACAGCAACCCCTAAATCCTTCAAAATACGTTTCAAATACACTGATCTGAACACGATACGACAAATCCATTCAATGAGACTTGACAAAATTGGAATCGAAATTTATCAGAGTTGTCAGTTTTCGTTTCGAAACTCAATTATTAATATGGGAGTCACCACACTTATAACAAAAAAAAATCAAGTAACGTGCATTAAGAGCGAAAAAGACGTTGCGCGCTTCGCTTCTGCTTGAACCGCCAACGCGAAACGCACTTCTTTTTCGCTCTTATTACGTAAACATAAAGCTTCTCACCGACTTAATGTGATTCCCTTTGTGACAAGCGTAGTGACTCCCTAAACACCGTAACAAATTGACTGTTACAGTCGGTTAAGTAGGTTTGTCTTCCATTTATCAAACATTTTAGCGTACAATGCGTCAATAAGTAAAAGCTTATGCACATGGTGTTCAAAATAATTAAATAAAAAATAGTTTCAGGGGTTCATTTCACTTATATATAAATTAGGTTTGGTACTAGCTATTCAAATAATGAAACAATTGATGTAAAAGTGTGCATTGTGTTCAGAAATAGAGGGGCCTCAAAGATATAGATTTACTTCAAAATGTTTAAAATCTTGTATAGTCAATTGTCTTGTTTGTATACAAACATATGTTGTGCAAATAATGCCCATTATGTTGCGTATGTTTCGAAAGCAAATTTAAAAAGTATACTGACACCTTTTTCATTCTCTATTTCTTTGAAACATATCTTCGTAAGTTTTAGAAAATGTACGTAATAATAATTAAAAGTTTGCAATAGTATCATTATCAGTGTACTACTACCAACGTTTAATTTGGTATAATGCTAGTTCTACTTATTAAAATTATGGACAGAGTACCAGGAGATAACTCTATGATTTATTTAATAATTATGTAAAAACTTAAGTCGTTGATTTTATAAATATGTTATGTATTGTAAACATGCCAATTTACTAAATGGACACGTAGTTACAATTTCGTTCAAATATACTCCGCTAAGTCGTTATCACAAACAAAGGCCGTATCATATATTTATTATATACTTGAAATTATATAACTAATGTTTCCTGATTGTTGCTTGTCTTATTTCTTACAAAATCCATTGCGTTTAGTTTTCATTTTACGATAACGAACCTCGTAAATTAAACCAATCGGTTCAATTTACCAGGTTTGTTATCGCACTAGTCGGAGGATATAAATAGATATCCCAAAAGATAAGGACGCTCCATATGATACAAAACGTTATAAATCGAATTGATATCTACAGTGCTTATCTACTCGTGCATTGATTATTTATATGGGACGAAAAATGCGTAACATAGCTTCTTTTTAAGCATTTGTTCACACGAGATAATAAAATCTATTAACACTTGACGTCGAATTGTGAGTTGTCATGCCTTATACACTTTACGTTAATGGAAGATTTATTTTAACCATAATGAATTTAAAAATCGCTGCCCAATAAAAAGTCAAGAACAAGATCAATAACGCGAGCCATGGACTGTGTACGGGCGGTATAGAATTTACTTATGACGTCGAGATATCTTTAAATTTTCCCGCTTACACCATTGCATAGCTACAGTCTACAGTGCTGTTTTGTACTGCGTCTAGACAGGTCTACCACGCACTCACGCATCTTTAGACATCAAAAATATCTTGAGGTATGTATATATTCGTATTACGTCAACGTTTTCATTTAATTGCTCCATGTTTCTGTTTATATTCACGCACGTGACCGTAGAGTGATGATAGCTCCCACTACTGATTCAGTGGTATGTTTCGTGGATTGTGTGTTGTGAAATTGTGACATCATTCGTCGTACAAAACTGATTATTAAAATTGGTTGTGTCTATGACGAAATTAAATTTTTTCGTATTTCCTATGGAGTGTTAGTATTGCTTTTGGAGTCTAACGAAGTACTTGTTTCTAGTCTATCCAGGTACAGTAAACAACGCGTCAAACAATAACGAAAACTTATAATAATAGATTCAATTTTTGTAGAGAATATTCTCCATTTGCTATGGCGTTATGTTGTGGTTCTTAAACTTTCGTACTGAAATAGTTACTTATGAAACCTAGAACTGCAGCCGTATGTGTATTTTTCCCCTTTTCCATCAACAAATTTCTGAGAATACTTCGTGACGTCATCTTTAATACTCAATGATATACTACTTAAATTGAAGTTAAATGTTATTAGGATATAAATACTATTGTCTAAACATTCGCTGTTTCATTTATTGTAGTTAACAAAATGGCACAAGAGCCACCAATATTCGACTACCACGAGGAAACTCAAAGCGAAAAATTGGCGCGTAAATCCAAGGAATCTCCATTCATGGTTATTGGTAAAGTTTTATTTTAATTCTATATACTTACTTCTTTTAATATTGTTGGTATAGGCAAAAGCATTTAACTACTAACTTATACCACAGATAATACAATACTATACTAACACCCGATCTCTCTTTTAATTATCTATAATCGAATTAGAGAAACAATAGGTGATTGTGACTAAGTATTGTTCGGTTAAAAGGATATACTTTGGTACCTATACCTAAGTACATCTATCTATCACAATTCACAACCTTTGTTGCGTCCGTCTTCGCACACGACACGATCTCCTCCGTTCTTCCACGCATGTCGATCTTTTGTCACTTGCATTCGACGTCGTTCGTCGTTATTCTCTGCTATAAGTGTTGGTTTCTGCAAACTGTGGCAATTGATCCTGACATACTGCTTTTACTTAATATGCGTTGTCCCAGTCTCTATTGATGTATTGCGTATCAACCCACTCAGGGCCATCAGAGTCATGTCTTTCAAATGTAGAGACTATTAGAATAATGTCATAGTTTAGGTATTGGCACATAAACTATGAAGTTCATTCTTGTAAGGACTGTTCTTGTGTATACAAAAGCACCGATATCTGTGTCTTACGTGCTATCCTTCGCCGTCACTCCATCCATCCATCCATCCATAGAACAAAAATACCAGCCAGCGTAAATTTAGCGCTCTTGTTCTAGTACAGGTGTACTAAGGGACAAACAAGAGCGCTAAACTTACGCTGGCTTTAAACCTTTAAGAGCACGTCAGGAATAACAAGATTTAAATTCAACTCTGTGCCCCTTGTCATAAGAACTGTCTCTTTATAAAATCGCAACGCTTTTTAGACCAACAAAGTTTTTCGTCAAAAAAGTTTTGTTTAAATTTTGTTACTAATGCTCTGGCCACACAAGAGGTGGTCGCGGAAGCGTTCCGGAAATTTATAATCTAAGATTTTATAAGAACCCTGCCACACTGAAATTACTACAAAAAATATACGAATACCTCCGCGGCCGCCTCTGTGTAGCCTGAGCATAAGGGTGCATTCCCACTACCCGTGATGTCAAATGCGCCGATTTGTACGAGCGAGCTCGCGAAACGCGCGAGTCTGGGCCGCCTCGGGTCGACGCATGTGGCGGCGCGTATTCAGGTTTGTATCGAGATGATAGACCGGACGCGCTTCTGTTTTTTAAATAAATTTACATTTTAGGTCCTAATGTCGAACATAAAGTTCCCTCGTGCATGGTTGTTAATTTTTATTCGGTTTTAAGAATTAATGCAGCAGTACATCTTCTTGTCAAGGAGTTTGTCCTGGGAACCTACTGCCACCATACCCACTATTAATGCCCCTAAGCAATAAGGTGAGCATTATCGCATTCCGATATATCGCATTGTAAGGGTGCTTTTGTGAAACTACAGGCACATGAGACTTAATGACTCAGAGTGACGAACGGCCGCAGTGATAGTGCACTTGAGATCTTTGGTATTCTGCAACTCTTATGGGTTGACGTGTTGTACACCATCAGGCGCAAGACTTGTTGGTTCCGTCACTTGATAGTCATAAAGGACAGCTTTTGACAGGTCTTTTAACTACTTTAGAGAATAAAAAATCTTTTTTTTTTACTATAAATGAGTAAAAAATTTCTTCGATCTGACTAGATAGATAGATAGATAAAACGTTTATTTGTTACTACATTCACACGTACATAATAGCAAAAAAAATAATAAAAAAAACACAAACAAAACAAAAAATAAACAAAAACAGCAGAGTCGCAGCACTGCTAGACACCCAGTTATGTGCGTGTGCTGCAGCAGTGCAAAAAGGTCATAGCTCAGCGTCGGTGTTTACTCAAGAGCAAACCGCTGATTTTCAGCTATAACCTAGAGGTAATCGCGGATACGATAATCAGCTCGCTGACGTCATTTTTCCATTTAGTTATATTTAAACATATAATAATAATTAGAATAGAAACCAAATAAATAGGAAGATAATATAAATATAATGTTTAAAAAATAAATTAAAAATATTAGTGATTTAATTCAAATTATATATTGTAATTGTACAATATATAAAAGAAAAATTAAGAAAAACTAGTGTAATACAGATATAAAAGAAAATTAAATTGTTAGTGGGTTAATCATGGTTTTAATACATAATATATGCAATAGGACTGGACTGGATTGCAATAGGCTGATGATGATGATATGCAGCAAATTTTCGCCACCTAAGCAAAGCTCTGTGAAATACCCTTTTTTTTACTGTCAAGAAGAAGTTCCTTTACCTTCCTTGAAGGTGCGTTTAGATTTTAAAAGTCTTAAAGGTGGTGGAATATTATTCCAACACTTTGTTGAGTGGTAGCGAAAACTGCCGGTGAACGCTGCTGTACGATGTCGCTACTTACACGCTTAGCGGGGGACGTAACGAGCTAGGAATATGGTCGTACCGTTTATAAAAGTAGGGAAATTGTAATTTTGAAAAAAGATAATCTGGATTTTTGAATTTTGCAATATCAAACATTAAAGAGACAAGATGTAACCGTCTGCGAGATTCCATGTTGAGTATACATGCATTATTATGAAACGGCGTTATATGACTCCTAGGCGAAACATCAAAAATAAATCTACAACATGCATTCTGTATGCGTTGTATTAAGCGACTTGTTTTATATAACAGTCGAGGGCCATAAACAAGGCCTGCATAGTTGAGACGAGACAGCACCAGGGATTCGCACAAAGTGATCCTAACTCCCTCGGACAATAAATTCCTAATTTTATACAAGACTCAGTCTATAAAAGCAACTTCTTACAACATTTTCTAAATGTTTAACGGAGTTCGCTGTCCAACAGAACACCAAGATTTCTAGCTTCATGAACCCGGGAAATACTGGGTGGCGCAAAAGTAAAGACCCTATTTGGTTCAGCTATAACATTTTTTCTAAATTAGAAAACTAGATTTAGGTTTTTTTAAATGTATATTTGTGCCATTAAATATCGTACCATTAGGATTTAAAGATGATGTCTTTTAAATGGTGACCTCCAGAGTTGATACACATTTGAGCCCTATTTATGACATTTTGCATAACTTGCCGTAACACTTCCTGCGATATGTTCGTTATTTCTTGACGAATGTTTTCTTTTAGAGCTGCGAGAGTCTGTGGCTTGTTCACATACACCCGAGATTTCAAAAAACCCCAAAGAAAGAAGTCTGGACTGGTCAGATCGGGTGATCTTGCAGGCCAAGGCAAATCGCCAAAACGAGAGATAATTCGGCCTGGAAAAGCGTCCCTCACTAAGTCCATAGTGTCGCGCGCTGTGTGTGCCGTAGCTCCGTCTTGTTGAAACCAGATGTGCTCCAGCCCCAATCCGTCCAAACTGGGTATCAAAAACTCACGTAACATGGTTCTGTAGCGTTCTCCAGTGACAGTTATCGCATTGCCTCCAGCGTCTTCGAAAAAATAGGGTCCGATCACTCTGTCAACACAGATGCCACACCATACAGTAACTTTTAGTGGGTGTAGAGGTGTTTCTTGAATAATGCGCGGATTATCAGTACCCCAGAACCGAGTATTCTGCTTATTGACATGCCCTGAGAGATGGAAATGCGCTTCGTCACTCATAACCAATTTTGAAGGAAAATCATCCTCTTCAAGGTTGAGGTTTATGACGCGCTGGCAGTAATCTAGACGAGCTCGGTGGTCAGCAGGCAGCAGCTGATGAGTCATTTGAGTTTTATACGGGAACATCTTTAAGTCTTTCACCAAAATACGCTGCAGGGTCCGTCTGGAAATGCCCAATTGCGTGGCACGTCGCCTCGTTGATGTTTCTGGACACTCTTCCACATCTTCGCGCACAGCATCGATATTTTCAGCTGAACGGCCTGTTCTTGGTCTCCCAGACTTAGGTCTATCCAATGTTGAGCCAGTTGCTTCAAGGCGTGTGGCAAAGCGTCGAATTGTGCGACCAATCGGTGCCGGACGGTGGGGAAATCGTCGACGAAATTCACGTTGTGTTCTTATCACTGATGAATTATTCCGTAAGAACATTGACACAATTATTCCACGTTCTTGGGGAGTAAAACGGTCCATGTTTATTTTCAGTGTATTTTACATTTGTTCACTACACAATTTTCAACAACAGAATGACAGAAAATGTCATATAAAAAAAATAAAAGTATTTTCTTTAGTGCCAGTACTTTTGCGCCACCCGTTACTTTGACCTAAAAGACTAACTACTGGTGACTTGTTTAAAATTTTCCTAATCTGAACTTTTGATCCAAGCACCATAAACTTTGATTTATTAGGGTTTAGTACTAGCGCATTTCGGACCGACCATTCAGCTATCGCATTTAGGTCTTCATTGAGCAGCCGTAATGAATCCGATATTCTCTCAGGCACTTCAGAAATATACAGCTGAACATCATCGGCGTACAAATGGAATTTACTATGTTTTATTACTTGGACCAAATCAGCACTGTATATTATAAATAGTAGAGGACCTAGTATCGAACCCTGTGGAACACCACGATGAACCGGCTGCAAATTGGAAACCATATCAATGCAGTTGCGTTTCTTGAGTCTTACAGACTCGCATCGGTCACTAAGGTAATTACTAAACCAGTGAATCGCCCGTGGGTCTAGTCCGTAGTAGACTAATTTTGATAGCAGAAGAGAAACGTCAATGCTATCAAAAGCTCGAGAAAAGTGCAAGAGTGAGAGAATTGTACCACGGCCAGCGTCCTGTGCCGCTAGTATATTATCAGTTACGTGAAGCAAAGCAGTAACCGTGACACGACCCCTTCGGAGACCCGACTGAAGAGAAGGGAGTATATTATTCTTGACTGCATGACACAGAAGCTGATGATATACTGCCTTTTCTAGAATTTTGGAAAGAAAAGGCAGTACACTAATAGGCCTAAGATCTTTTAGTTCACTGGGATTGTCAACCTTAGGCAGTGGAGTGACCAATGCTTCCTTCACAGTCTAGGAACCCTACCTGTCAAAATGGACCTATTCACAATCGCAGTGAT